TATGTTGCTAGTTTCTATATTCCATTATAGTTTTTATTTTAGGGTGTATTCCTTCTACTTATATAAAAGGTTTACTGTAAAACAATATGGTATTACTCCAGGAACAGCCTCATACAGCTCATGTTTACTGCATGCGTCTTTTTTTTTTTTTTGAGACAAGGTCTTGCTATGTAGTTTAGGCTGGCCTTGAACTCACTATGTAGTACATGCTGGCCTTGAATTCTCTGGTATCCTCCTGCCTCCATCTCCCAAGTGCTGGGATTACAGGCATGTGCCACCATGCCTGGCTGACTGCATGTGTCTTAACTGCATCATTTTCTCTTGTGTTTGGTAATCTGAGGTTGTTTTGTTCATCATAGCCCTAAGAGCTATAGGCTGTGCAGTATACCATCTAATCTAGGTATGTAATCGGCTGTACCAGCATGCTCTATGATATTCACACAATAATGAAATCACCTAATGACATGTTTCTCAGAATGTGTTCCTATAGTTAAATGATGCTTGACTGTTCGTGTAAAAGTATAAACAGAAGAGTATAGTGAGCCCCTCCCCCACTGCTCAGCTTTAACAACACAATTTTATCTTCCTCCCTTGTCCCACCTCACAAACCTTAGCAGTCATCTGATTCATTCAGTAAATATTTCAGCAGAGATAGCTATTTTAAAAAGTTAAGCTCTAAAGAAGGGAGAATGAGGGCCCGGGGATTTAGCTCAATGGTTTCTCCGCCTGACTTGAAAGCTCAAGGTCCCAAGTTCAATCCCCAGAACCAAAAACAAAAAAACAAAACAAAACAAAAAAGTGAGAATGAGGTCATAATGGGGAAGTGTATGGAGGAGTGTGGGTTTCTAATGTGGAGATGCTGATGAAAGTTGAAATTCTGATGAGGTGGATCTGATAGGAAAAGAGAGATCCTTGGGCAAGAGAGACATCTCCATCACTAACAAGAGAGAAGCATGTAGTTTTGTGAGTAGCAAGTTAAGGGAATCCCTGTCTGCTGGTTAAAAACTTTTTTTTTGAGGGGGAGTGGTAGTGTGAGAGGAAGAGAGGGGATGCTGAAGTTCTGAGGCACTTGGGAAAAGTTGCAAATAGTCATTGTGGAGTGGTGCATGAATGTATTAGAACAGTGTTAAAATATGGGGTTGTGTTGAGGGCCACTGGAATTGGGTGAATTCCAGAGACTCTAGTTAGTGTTTGTTTGACTTTTTTCTTTTTACTGTTACACATTTGTCTGGCTGTGTTTGTATGTTCAAAAGAGGTAGATAATTTAGTTCATCCTTTAAAAAAATTTTTTTGGCCTGTTGTTATGGCTAAAGGAGAGGTTAAGGGGGACCTAGAAATCATCATCTACAGAGTGAAAGTTCCCATGTGACTAGGATGGGATACTTAAGCAGTGGGCAAGGCCGTGGATAGTGGGCACCTGGACTTGAGAATTTCGAGTGGCAGCCTGATCCAGGATACATCTTTGAGAGAGATGGCTCAGTGGAGTAGAATCAAAGATTCCTGGGACACAGGACATTGACTCACTGAGACAGCAGGTTGTGAGATGGCTCATCCACATGGATGTTTAAACCCATCTAGGATTTTGGTAGGAGTGGAATGAAAGGTGAGCCAAGGTGAGAAGAAAGGAAGGATCTTGTACAGTGGTGGGAGCCATGGGCCTCAGAAAGAGGAATGTATTGATGAGAAGGTGAAGGTGTAATTGTTTGGAAGCAGCATCACAAATCAGGCCCAGCCAGCTTCTCCTCTGACCTTTCCAGACTGTCATATGTGTGTGAAAGAGAATGGGCAAGCTTGACCTTAAGTGTGGCGAGAGCAAGTATTGACCTTAGGGAAGAGCCAGTTTTCACGAAGGACATAGTTCACTCACTTTGACCTCTCCTTGGGCATGCTGTGGGATGCTGCTCCGAGCACCCTGCCGAAGTGGGTGCTGCCCCCAGGTCTGTTCTCTGGGTTGCTCTGCACCCTTCTTCCCCAGGCTCCCTCTCTGCAAAGGGGAAAGTAATAAGATAGGGAAAAAAGAGCAGACTCAATCTAAGACTTTCCACCTAGCAAAAGTCATGGATCCACTTGAATATATTGCTTTTTTTCATAAAGAGAGATTTAATAAGATCTATCTCTATGTGCTATATTTTATATTTAACATTTTTCCTGGGCTATGAGCCATATATTTTAATTTTGCTGGAAAAAAGGCTATGGCTATTTTAAATTCCCATCATTTACATTGATTTATGGTTGAGATGTAACTTTATTGAAAATTTATAGTATTTTTGTCTATACTATAAAACCCTGCCAGTGGTGTTATTTCAAAAGTTCAGCCTTGTAAATGGAGTTACATTATTGTGACGGCAATGACCTCCCCCCCGGCCCCACAACAGACATTGAAGCTCTTCAGAAGACAGGCAGAGGAATTTAGATTAGTGGGATGGTATAAAAGATCTAGAAAACAAGTTGTCTTAGTCACTTTCTCATCCCCGAGACACAGTACCTTATACCTGCAAACTACAGGAAGAGAGGTTTGTTTTAGCTCACAGTTTGTAGAGGTTTCAGTCATGGTTGGCTGGTTCCAGAGCAGAAGCAGCAAGCAGAAGGGTCTGGGCAGAGGAAAGCTGCTCACCTCTTGGTGAGCCAGGAAGGAAGATAGACCCTTGTAAATCACGTCCCCAGTGACTCACCTCTTCCAACCAGACCCCACCTCCCAACATCGGGTCAGCTGTAGCAGCCCCATAATCCATTCACCTTCCAAACATGTGAGGCTTTGGGGCCATTTTAGATCTGAAGCATAACACAAGTGGAAACAAAAGATGTTATGATAAAAGGATTTACTGTCATTTTTGTTGTTCTGTTTGCTTAGATTTGGGTTATTTTGCATGTGATGTTTGCTCGATGACAAGTGACCATTTTGACTTGTAGTCAGCCTGCTGTTTGGCCATTTCTTCCTGTGAGAGAGGGGATGCTAATTATGAGCCAAGAATAAGTAGTAGCAGCAGATTATTTCTTAGGAAACATGTCTTTTTTATTTTATATCTGTCCTAAGTCTTTGAGTTTCTGTGAGCTGCAACTCTTCTCTGATAGGCTGAGAGTGTGAGAAGGTGGCAGAGTGAGGGCAGAGCCACAGTAGCTGATCCTACCTGCTGCTCACACTTCCATTGTCCCACTGTACTCACAAATTCTGCATGCACAGATCAGTCATCCACAGATCAAAAATATTAAGAAAATTGAGTCTGTGCTGAACATGTGCAGACTTCTTGTTATTCTCTATACAATGTGGTTTAAGAACTATTTGCACAGCATTTCCATTGTGTTTGGTGATTTGAAGTATACAGCAGGATGTATGTAGGTACTATGATTTAGATCTTAAGTGTCCCCCAAAGGCTCAGTCCTCAGCTGATAGTGCTAGAGGTGAGGTCTGGTTGGAAGGAAATGGGTTACTGGGGACATGTTCTTACAGGGAATATTGGGACCCTTCTCCTCTCTTTGCTTCCTGCCTGCTGTGAGGAGATTAGTGGTTTCCTTCACTACTGGTCCCAGCCATGATGACCTGCTTTGCCATAGGCCCAAAACAATGGGGGCAAGGGACCATGGATGGAAACCATAAGCCAAAATAAATCTTCCCTCTTTATGAACTATTTATCTCAGGAATTTTGTCGTAGTGTATATGGAAAGTTGACTAACATGGTAGGTACATGCAAATACCACACATTTTATATGAGGAACTTGAAAATCTCCAGAGGGGTCCTGGAATCAGTTCCCCCACAGATAATGAGGGTTGACTGTCACCTACTTATTATACTGAACTTTAGTACTCATCCTAATCCCAGCAGATTTATTCAGGCCTAGGGTAATAATGAGAATCTGTCACTAGTTACTGGCCCTTAGTGGGGCTCAGTCAATGGTTTAATGGTTAAGATTGTTCTGTATAGGGGCCGGGGTTTTAGCTCAGTGGTTCTGCCATCTGCCTCGTAAGTGTAAGGACCCAAGTTTGTTCTGTATAGCATTTGATTAAAATTGTGAGTTCTTAGTCTGATTCCTGAGTTTAACTCTTAGCTCTATCCCTTAACTGACTGTGAACCAGGACAGATTTTTTAAACCTTGTAAACCTTAAGTTCCTTGTCTGTTAAATGAGAATCATAATAGTACTTAGATCAAGGATGGTTGGGATGATAAACAGCTCAATCCCCAGCACATAGCAAGAGTACCCAATAGCTGTTAAAATTATCGTGTTGGACTGTCTTGTGGCTGACTTACTAGTTTGATGCATCTGAGAACTGTTTCAGATGTATTTGTCCATTATTCATAATATTTTTTTAGAATAGTAAGGCCTACCTTTCTTGATCATTTTCCTAAAGATGTATCTATCCCCCCTTCATCATCTCTCTCTCCTTCAGACATACTTCCTCTTGTCTCCATCTCCATTTCTTGTTCTATTTTTTTCTGTTGTACTTATTACCTCCTAATATACTGTTCAGTGTATTTGCTTTGTGTTCCAGACTGTCTTCATGTATAAAATGGGAACTCCATGGAAGCAGGCATACATGTCTGTTTTATTCCCTGTTCTCTTATCAATGCCTGGACCTAGAGACTAGAATCTGGCTCATTGGATGCCCAGTAAATCCTTACCAGAATGAACGAATTGACTTTGAAAAAGATAATATTTGCTCTGTGCCTTGGTTTTTGTAGCTGCCCTATGATGATGTTTTACTCAGAAGTTCTTGGCAATAGTTTGCTCGTTTGCCTCTCTCATGCCTCCTTTCCTAATGGGAGGTAATCGAAGCCACATAAACAGGTTGAGGAGAGGAATAAGTTGGATGAGAGGAAAATAAGGATGAGAGTATTAACTAATTCACTGGTTTACTTGTCATGCTTTTTCTTTCAGCATAAACATCCCCAAACACCTTGTCAACCAGAGTAGATGTTTGTCTCAGTAGTGAACAGCTTATGTATGCTTTTACTTTCTTGTCAATTTTACATGCAATAGACCTTTTGTTATTTTTCTCTTTTAGGGCACCAATGCCTCTGCTCTGGAAAAAGACATTGGTCCAGAGCAATTTCCAATCAATGAACACTACTTTGGATTGGTCAATGTAAGTATTTAAAATGCATTATGTTTATTAAACATTTTAAAGTATTTTGATTTAATGCCAATTGCTCATGTGCTTTAGTTAGAAGAGGAAGCAAAATGTTGGAGATGGAGCATTTTAATTTATTTTTGAAAGTATTAGCTGTCCCAGAAGAAAAGAATTTAATTACTACATTAGTGGTTCAAATTTACATCTTTCCCTCCCTATGCTTTGAGGGGTTTCTTTTGGATACATAACTTTTTAAAAAAAATTTAATTTTATTGGTACATTTCAGGTATACAGTATACTGACATTCATCATTGGAAATTCACACCTTTACATAATCTTTCTTGGTTCTTATTTTTTCCCCCTTCCCCTGCCCTTCCTTCCATCCCTCCATTCCTCCCTATTTACAAAGACTTTGTTTCCATTTTTTCATTTTCTCATATTAATTCTATTCCCTTCTTTCCTTTTCCCTACCCCTCTCACTTCCCCTTCCCCTTCCCCTTTGCCCCTTTTCTTCCTATTTCACATTATCTATTATACCTTTTAGTCCTTATTTACACTTTCAGTTTCTCACACTAGAGAAACTATTCGGTATTTACACGTTTGTCCTATTTATTTCACTTAAGAGTATCATCTCAGTGTGCATCCATTTAGCTATACATATCTATAATATCTAATTTTATGGCTGAGTAGTACTCCATTTTATGAAAAACATTTTCTTTATCAAGTCTCCAGTTGATGGGCATTTGGGCTGTTTCCAAGTTTTAGCTATTACAAACTATGCTGCTATGAACATGGGTGCACATATATCACTGTGGTATGATTCTTTTAATTCTTTGGGGAAGATCCCCAGCAGGGGAATAGCTGGATCAAGTGGGACTTCCACTCCTAGTTCTTTGAGGTAGCTCCATACTGATTTCCACAGTGGTTGCACCAGCCTACACTCCCACCAGCAGTGGAGCAGTGTTCTTCTTTCCCCACAGCCCTGCCAGCATTTGTTATTAGTTGATTTCATGATAGCAGCCATTCTTTCTGGAGTGAGGTAGAATCTCAGTGTTGTTTTCATTTGCATCTCTCGAATGACCAGTGATGTTGAACATTTTTTCATGTGTTTATTTGCTATCACTACTTCTTTGAGAAATGTCTGTTCATTTCAGCTGCCCATTTTTGGATTGGGTCTTTAAATTTGGGAGGTCTGGTTTTTTTAAGTTCTTTATAGATTAGAGATAATAGAGCTTTGTCTGAGGAACAGCAGGTGAAAATTTTTTCTTACATTGTGGGTTGTCTCTTCACACTGTTGATGGTTTTGCTGTGCAGAAGCTTTTTAATAAGAAGAGATCCCACTTGTTGATTGTTTGTGCTAATTCACGGGCAACTGAGGTTTCGTTCATAAAATCTTTTTCTACACCAGTGTCTTCAAGAGTTCTACCTAACCTCTGTTCCAACTGGTTCAGAGTTTCTATTTTAATATTTAGATCTTTAATCCATTTTGATTTTAGTCTAGTGCATGGTGAGAGCTTTAGGTCCAGTTTTAATCTGTGGCACGTTGAAGCCCAATTTTTCTAGCACCATTTATTAAAGAGTCTATCTTTCCTCCAGTGAGGGTGTTTGGCTCCTTTGTCAAATACGACGTGGCTGAATGTATCTGGAGTTGTTTTTGCATCTTCTAGTCTGTTTGATGCATAACTTTTATAGTAATTTTATTAGCTTTTGTAGGCAAATTGCTTTTGTACGTCCTCCTTTTGTCATCTGGGTGAACTCTTCAGCCAGTCTTTGTTTCAGTGAGCATTAGTATCACCAGAGTTTTAAAAGTGGTACCAGGTCATCATCAGTATAACTTGGTAGGGACCTATCTGAAATAGGGAGAGGCTGTGGGGGAAAAGCTGGGACCTGTTTATCTCAGAATTATATAGCCTCATTTTACTTGTGCTTAGCAGTAGTCCCTTTGTATCTGCCTAGATTTATAGGTCCTTCTTCCTTGATAGTTGATGATAACCAGGTAGTAAGGCAGTATTAGGCATCCTTCATGAACTTTCTTTCTTACCTGATGCTTTCTCTCTGGGGTGGAAGTCTTAACTTATAAATAAGTTATCAAGTGTTAACTTATAAACACATGACTTTCTGGAACAACTGATCTACACATAGTCTGTCAGTGCCCCAGCATGACAAGTAGTAGAAGAAGCTAGAAATACTCTGTATGTAATTGAAGCCTGGGAGATAATGGAAAGAGCATTGGCCTCAGTGCCATATATATAGAGCTGCATTTGAATTCTGCCTATAGTGTTCACAAGCTGTATGTTCTAAGGCAAGTTACCTTCCCTCTGAGCTTTGAATTTGCCATCTGTAAAATGGGATTGTGATGGTTTTTACCCCCTAAGGCAGTGATGGCAAATCTTTTAGAGCTTTCAGTGAGAAGAAACAGCCAGCCACGGCACTCATGCCATAGGTTTGCCACCACTGCTCTAGGGTGATAGTGAAAGATGGATGAAAGCTACTATGTAAGACACTGATGTGAAGCTGAGGCATGTTGTGGACACCTGTTGTGGACATGTTAGTTCCTTTCCTTTCCCAGGAGTTATTCACTGGATCGGGGCCAAGCATTATTGAACGTTGTCTAGGTAGAAGTGAGACACTGAGTAGAAGAGAGAAGAATGGTAGGAGAAAGGCTAAACACTGGAATAAGAGATTATGTTGGCAAAATACTGACTTCTAATTTTAATACCATTGTACACAGGCCTCTGCTTAGCTCTCTTAAGACAGTTATTCAAGTCATGGGAGTTCTGCCCTGGCTAAGGAAAATACAGGTGTAGACTGGAGAAATAATATAATTAAGACCATTTTTTAGTTTGTGGAAGAACTGTGAGATCTGCATTTATTAATAGCTTAATTTATGATCCTTACAATGGCAATTTATGAAAGTTCCAACTTCTTGGAAAAAGGTTTGTGTCTTGTTACATAATTGTATCAGATTTAAATATATAAAAATAGGAAAATTTCCAGCTCAGCATGTGTAGACATGTCATGTAAGTGTGGAAGAACATCCATCTCACTTTTGGGTAGCCACACAAGCCAATAGCCAATTCTGAGAATGTGTCCATGTTCTATTTTAATCATCCTTCGCACTTTGGTAGTCTGTGCTATGGATCTTGCTATTTCCTTACGATATTTTCTTGTTTGTTAAACTGTGTAGGAACAATTCTAAAGTGATGGTTTCAGCTGTGTTCTACCAGAGTTGGTCTTATAGTCACTTGGACCCTAGTGGGATGATGCCTTTCCCTTCTGTAATCATAATCTTAAAGTCCATGATTTTGAGAGGTATAAAATATTATTGTGTGGACTCTAATCTGATTGTAGGAGCCAGGGACTTGTGTTATACTGGATTGGGACAATTGCTACCTTGGAAAAAATGAGGCTGGGGGTAATTTAGAAGGTAAGAGGTGGGAAGCTGGGAGGGTGGCTTGAGGACATCTTAACCTTTTTTTCTGTGGAGTAAGGAGGCATCTGGTCTGAGCCAACAGGCAGGGACACTGGAATCTTGAAAGAGAAAAACAGAAGCTCCCATTTGGTTAAGGTTGATTCAGCTGTGCACGTAGTTCCTATTTCCTCAGTTTCTTTTTGATTTGGAGTTTTAGTTTGTCATGGAAGTTTTGATGTGCTGGAAAGTCAGATCTTTTCTTTAGTCAGCTAGTTACTGGGTCTTCAAATTATGTAGATTTTTTTTTTCTCTCTTTTTCTGTATGCACTAGATGGTGTCATTAGATGCTTTATCTAGACAGAATGCTTATTGTCATTTTATAGAGACTTGTACAGGTTAGAGAATTGTGTACAGTAGGGTTCCTTTACCTGTGCTGGATACATTTCAGGATCCCTAGTAGACTCCTAAAACCATGGCTAGTAATGAAATATATATATTTGTATACATACATGTATATGGTAAAGTTTAATTTATAATTTAGGCACAATAAGATACTAACAACAATAACATGTTCTAATAAAATAGATCATTTCAAACAATTTATTGTAATAAAATGATCGATATTACTACAAGGCCATTATTAAGTAAAATAAGAGTTCCTTGAACATAAGTCCTGTGACACTGACTGTGGACTGATAACTGAGATGGCTACTGAGTAACTAATGGACCAGTAGCACGTACAATGTACATGATTCGCATCCCAGGCAGGATAGTGTGAGATTTTATCACACTACTCAGAATGGTACACAATCAAAAACTTAGGAATTGTTTATTTCTGTAATTTTTCATTGAACATTTTCAGACTGTGGTTGACTACAGATAACTAAAAGCATGGAAATTGAAAGCACAGATAAGGAGGGAACACTCACTGTATGCCTTTATACATGTTCCTGTTAATCAGGTAGTCACTGGTGTTTAAAGTAGTCAGTCTTTTTTCTGATATGGTGACCTGGGCTTTGATATAGGGAAACTGGGTGGATTTGTGGAGTCTGGGCTTCTTGCTCTGCCCTCCTCTTCCAGAGGTGGCTTGTCCCTGGACAGTGATCTGAGCCACCCCTCTTGTCCTTTGGCAGTTTGGGAACACGTGCTACTGTAACTCTGTGCTTCAGGCGTTGTACTTCTGCCGGCCATTCCGTGAGAACGTATTGGCATACAAGGCCCAGCAAAAAAAGAAAGAAAACTTGTTGACATGCCTCGCAGACCTTTTCCACAGCATTGCCACACAGAAGAAGAAGGTTGGCGTCATCCCACCAAAGAAGTTCATTTCAAGACTGCGAAAAGAGAATGGTGAGTAGCAGTGTGTCATGGTTTTAGGGCTCTAAAATAAGGAAAACTGACATTTCTGTATATTCTCAAAATGAAAAGCTTATTTTTTTTTAAAGAGGGAAAATAACTGTAGTCAGCTACTCAGTTGTCATTTTTAAAGCAAAGATATTTGTTTTTCTCTATCCATTATACGTTAAGCAAAAGTGGATTAGAACTATGCTTTAAAATTCAGATGTAGCATCTCGTTTTAGAATGATTTTTTTTTTTAAACTCTATTCCGGGTAGGATCATTGTAAGGGAAAAAATTGCCCAAGGCAGCCTTCTCAGTGGGACATTCATTGGATTAGATAGGCTGATCTAATAATTGAATGAAATAGTACTCTCTTATGAACTTGTCATAAGTGATTAGAGTAAGTACATATTACCTAATCAGATTCTCTACTGTTGTAAAAATAATACCTCTGATTTTATTTGCCAAGATGATTGAAGGTTATCAAATTGATGATTTTTATATGATAAAAATATCCTGCTGTCAACTGATTTTTTTGTCTTCTTTTTTGGGGGGAGGGGGACTGGTGGTGGAAACAAGCTTATATTCCAGAAGTTTTTTACTGGGATTTTTTCTGACTGGAAATATTTGAAGTGGCAATTTGTGTTTTTCCCAACATTCCACCTTACTTCAACAGACTTGCATGGTTGATCAGAGATGTTTGTTTTGCAGTCTTGTTTAGTTTGATTGCTGTCTTTTAACAGTTGCTGTAGTTTATACATACTAGAATAAAAGTAATTCGAGTAGAGAAGAAGGCGGAGCACTCCCAGTCTAGTTGTGAATATGATTAATAATGGGGTTTCACAGCTGCACTCATCGCCATTGTCCTGGTGGCCAGGAGCAGCTTCTGGAGTCATTCGTAATTGGTGTCGGGGTGCTATCCGATAGACACATGCTCCTGCATATTCCTCATCTCCCTTATGTGTTTCAGTTAAGCTGTTTTCATTTTGGCCTGGGGTTCAATATGATTTTTGGGGAAGAGACTCCAGTTGCTCTGGTTAAATTATGCAGTGATTAATTGGTCATCAGTAGTAACATCATATTAAATATTGATATTTTGTCAAGGATCTTTTCAGGTAATTTCTGTTCTTCTGTACAACTAATAAAAATTTGAGTCAATTTTTATATACATGACTGTAGGGAGATAGAGAAAGTTGGTGGGTATAGGAAATGGAAATCTTTGGAAACTTACTCATGGCAGCTGCGTAGTAGAGATGAATTTATATTCCATACCTGTCTGCCCTTTCAATATAAAAAATTGAAGCATGGCCTATAAAACTAAGCATGCCTTCTTGCTTTTCAAGAATCAAAGATTGAAATAATGACTTCTCCTTTCCAGATCTCTTTGATAACTACATGCAGCAGGATGCTCACGAATTTTTAAATTATTTGCTAAACACTATTGCGGACATCCTGCAGGAAGAGAAGAAACAGGAAAAGCAAAATGGAAAATTAAAAAATGGCAACATGAACGAACCTGCAGAGAATAATAAACCAGAACTCACCTGGGTCCATGAGATTTTTCAGGGAACACTCACCAATGAAACCCGATGCTTGAACTGTGAAACTGTGAGTGTTAAGAGTACTCGAATGTAACTTGCTTAACATAGTTGGACAGCCTGTGTTGTGTGTGAGTGCAGTGTGGTGTTATAACACATACCAGTGGCTTTTCAGTATATGTGGACAATCCTGTTGCATGAATCCTGTTCATACATATGAAACTCAAGTGCAGATTTTTGCAAGCATGTCTTCCAAGGTATGTCGGCTAGCTAAAGCAGAGTGATAAGGAGGGACCTCCTGAAATGCTGGATTGCTTTGCACTGTGAGCAATTTTAGGATTTACAAATTGAACTCTTGAACTGGGATCTTTCAATTCTTATTTTAAAAAGATTTTGGTCATGAGAAAATCAGGTGTGGTTTGGAACAGACTATTGCTGGGACTTAAAGGGAATCAGCTTTGGTACAGTGAGCTTGAGTTCAGAAGAGGATCAACTCCTGTTTCTCCATGTGAGCTGGAGAGATGCAGTGAGTCACTCCTAGTGCTGTTTCAAGGGTTGGGTGAGCTTATATGTTTGAAGTGGTTTAGTACATGGTAGGCACCTAATGTTAGTTGAATTTGAAAACATGTACTACAGAGCACAATTCAGGATGTCATATTTGTTTGTTATATTTAATTTAAACTTTGTGCAGTGTCATTTTTGCTGGGTCAGAGCCTGGCTGTGGATCTAGGCTGCCTGAGTTTGATGGCTTTGAAATTTAATAGCTGTGGGACCGTGTGTAAATTATGCCTTTCCTCATCTTCACTGTCATCTATAAAATAGGGGTGAAGAGAATTCCTGTCTCATAGGTTCCTGGGAGGATTAAATAAGTCAACGTTTGTAAACACTGAGAACTGTGCTTGGCACATAGGAAATATGCAATAAAAGTCAGCTATTGTTATTTGTTACAACTATTAACAACATAGACTCTGGGTTCATCAGGAGTCTCAGAGTTTCTTGTTATATGAAAAATTCTTTGTAATCATGCATTTTTCTGGAGAGAGGCAGTAGTTCCCAACAGATTCTGCTAAGGGCCTGTGTCTTTGTCTGGGTGGCTTAAATGACAGAAGTTTCTTTTTTTTGGTACTGGGGATTGAACTCAGGACCTTGCACTTGCGAGGCAGACGGTGGCACCACTGAGCTAAATCCCTGGCCCAATAGAAGTTTATTTCTCACAGTGCTGGAGGCTGGAAGTCTGAGGCCAGGGTGCCAGCATGGTTGGATTCTATTTTTTTTTTTTATTAAATTCTTTTATTTTGGTACATTGTAGGTATACAACACAATTACATTTCTCATTGGGAATTGGACCTTTACATAATGCATCTTGGTTCTTATTTTTTCCCCATTCCTAGCCCTCTCTTCATGCCCTCCACTCTTCCCTATTTACAAAGACTTTATTTCCATTTTTTCCATTTCTCATCACTTTTCCTTTCCCTTCTTTCCTTTCCCCTGCCCCTCCCACTACCCCTACCCCTTTGGACCTTTTCTTCCTATTTTACATTTTCAATTATTCATTCTAATCATTGGTACATTTTAGGTATACAATATAATGACATTTATCATTGGAAATTTGCACCTTTACATAGTCTCTCTTGGTTCTTATTTTTCACCCTTGCCCAGCCCTCCCTTCAACCCCTCCAGTCCTCCCTATTTACAAAGATTTTGTTCCTATTTTTCCATTTTCTCATATTAATCCCATTCCCTTCTATCCTTTCCCCTAGGACTCCCATTTCCTTCCCCTTTGCCCCTTTTCTTCCTATTTCACATTACCTGTTATACATTTTAGTCCTTATTTACACTTTCAGTTTCTCACACCAGAGAAACTATTCGGTATTTATACATGTGTGTCCTATTTATTTCACTTAAAAGTATTGCCTCAATGTGCATCCACTTAGCTATAAATGTCTCTAATTTCTCATTTTTTATGGCTGACTAGTACTCCATTTTATAAAAACACATTTTATTTATCCAGTCTCCAGTTGATGGGCATTTGGGCTGTTTCCAAGTTTTAGCTGTCACAAACTGTGCTGTTATGAACATGGGTGCACATATATCACTGTGGTATGATTCTTTGAATTCTTTGGGGAAGATCCCCAGCAGTGGAATAGCGGGGTGAAATGGGACTTCCAGTCCTAGTTCTTTGAGGTATCTCCATACTGATTTCCACAGTGGTTGCACCAGTCTACACTCCCACCAGCAGTAGCGCAGGGTTCCTCTTTCCCCACAGCCCCACCAGCATTTGTTATTGGTTGATTTCATGATAGCAACCACTCTTTCTGGAGTGAAGTGCAATCTCAGCATTGTTTTCATTTGCATCTCTCGAATGACCAGTGATGCTGAACATTTTTTTATGTATTTATTTGCTATTTCTACTTCTTCATCTGAGAAATGCCTATTCATTTCAGATGCCCATTTTCTGATTGGGTCTTTAAATTTGGGAGGTCTGATCTTTTGAAGTTCTTTATAGATTCGAGATAGTAGACCTTTGTCTGAGGAAGAGCAGGTGAAGATTTTTTCCCGCATTGTGGGTTGTCTCTTCACACTGCTGGTGGTTTCTCTTGCTGTGCAGAAGCCTTTTAATAAGAAGAGATCCCACTTGTTGATTGTTTGTGCTAGTTCACAGGCAACTGAGGTTTTGTTCATAAAATCTTTTCCTACACTGATGTCTTCAAGGGTTCTACCTACCCTCTGTTCCAACTGGTTCAGCATTTATATTTTAATATTTAGATCTTTAATCCATTTTGATTTTAGTTTAGTGCATGGTGAGAGATATAGGTCTAGTTTTAATCTTTGGCAAGTTGAAGCCCAATTTTTCCAGCACCATTTATTAAAGAGTCTGCCTTTCCTCCAGTGAGGGTGTTTGGCTCCTTTATCGAAGATGAGATGGCTGAGTGTGTCTGGCGTTGTTTCTGCGTCTTCTAGTCTGTTCCACTGGTCCTCAGGTCTGTTTCTTTGCCAGTACCATGGTGTTTTTATCACAGTAGCTTTGTAGTAGAGTTGCAAGTTGGGGATCGTGATACCCCCTGCTATGTCTCTGTTACTTAGAAATGCTTTTGCTATTCTGGGTCTCTTCTTGTTCCAAATGAATTTTTGGATTGTTTTTTCAAGGTCTATGAAGTATGCTGCTGGGATCTCAATTGGAATTGCATTAAATCTATATAGCAGGGTTGGATTCTATTGAGGGGTCCTTTCCTGGCTTCTCACTGGATCCTCACATGGTGGAGAGAGAAAGCATGCTTTCTCATGTTTCTCCTTACAAAGGCACTCATCCCATTACAGGGCTCCACTCTGAGAACCCACAGGCCCCATCTCCAGTAACACCACATTAGGGATTAGGGTTTCAATTTAAATTTTGAGAGGAAACAAAAATGCAGTCTTTTGAAAGTTGTAACTCAAAAATGGGCAAGAGATGCGGATTTACACATCAATATCTATGGGAGGGCTTTTGTTTTTGGCAATCTTTATAATGTCTTTCCAAAAGCATTTGAATCTGTGTTCTGATTTGTTTCTAGTAGAAACAATTTAAAAACATAGCTAAGCAAAAAGAGAGTAAAAATTAGAAGAATCTTGCCATTGAGAGATGATAAATTTGTAACGTTTTCTAAAACTTGTGATCACATTAGATCAGAGATAAACATTTGAATGTTTCAAAATATAACTTGCCAGAACATTTTCTGTACATACTTGTTTTTGTAGAGATCTTGTCTTCTCCCTTTTTCTCTTCTCTCCCTACCTTTTTCATTCTTTTTATACTTTGTCCAGTAAAATTCAAATGAATACAAAAATAGTAGTGTAATAAATCCCACATGTGTAATAATTCCTGTCCTTTAGTCCATCTTAATCTCCTTTCATACCCCTCCCCCTCATGAAATTTTTGAAAATTCCAGAAAACATCTGATTTGTAATTTCTTCATTATTTGTATATATCTCTAAAAGGTAAGAAGTCTCTTTTTAAAAGCATGAAATGTTAATACATCTAGAAATGATTCCTTTGCATCGTTATTCACTCAGTGTTCAAGTTTCTCTGATAGTGTCATACGTTTTTAGCAATTGGCTAATTTGCCTCTTGATCCAAATATGGTTCATAGATTGTTCATACATTTGGTCAGTTTGTGTCCTAACCTATAGTTTATCCTCACCCTTTTTTTCTCTTTGTAATTGAACTGTTGAAGAATCAGGTTGTCATTATAGAATTTCCCGCATTGTGGAAATATCCTTGTTAGCTAATGTGCTGCAAAATGCCTATCTGCATCAGAAGATATGTATAAGAAGGACTGCAGCAGGAGTTTAGAGAATCCATATACTCAACACCCAGATTGGGAAATGGAATCTTATTAATATTCCTGAAATCTGCTGAATGCTTCTTGGCAGTTTAATTTTTTTTCATTCTCATCCTTTACTCCAGAGTTAATCGCTGTTCATTCATGTTTATCATTGTGTAATATGCTATTGTAGGAATATACCACAATTTATGTTCCATTCTTCTATGATGTGTCTAGTATTTTTGGCTTTGTGGGTGCTGCTGCTACCAAACTTCCTATAAGAGTCTGCTAATACACATGGGCAGTCTTTCTGGAGTGTCCCCATGGGCAGAATTGCTGGGTCATAGAGCAGGAACATTCTCAGATTTACTAGGATTATCAAATTGTTTGTAGAGTGCTATAAGTTATATTAATGGATTTTCTATTGTTGACCTTGTCTTGTATTTTTTTTAATAAACCAAGCTTGGTCTTTAATGTACATTGTTGGGCTTTGAGATCTGAAATTTTGTTTAGGGCTTTTGAAACTGTATTAGTAAGTTTGACTTGAACTTTTCCTTTCTCGTAGTGTACTGGTTTGCTTTTGGAATCACCATCCTTATAAAATAAGCTCTTTTATTTGGAAGAATTTTTTAAAATAAATTTTATTTTATCCCATTCCTCCATTTCTCCTTATGTTCCCTCCCTTCACTATGTATAAAACCTTTATTTCCATTTTTTCCTTCTATTTTCACTTTTTTTTTCTTGCCTCTTCCTTCCTTTCTCCCTCCCT